GTGCACTTCGCTTGCCAAATATGAAATTGGCAACTGCACTGCTCGCGCAATCATTCCGCCCGCCCACCCGCAACTTGGATTGTAGAAGCCCACGCGGAAGCGATTGCGATGAGTGCTTGGTGTTGGCTGGTGCATCTCTGCGGCCGCGCTGGCCCGCGCATGCTCGCGCGCGCAGCGGACAGCTAGTTTGGCGCGACCGGCGCGAACGCGGCGGAGCTGACCGCTCGGCACATCCCAGCGGGCACTTCAGTGCGAGCCGGCGGCTTGGGCGGGCGCGGTATCATGGCAACGCGGACGACGGTGCACGCGATGATGATAGCGGCGGTGCCGGTGACGATGCTGACAGCGACGACGGGGCCGCCAGCGACGGCGCCGATGCTGATCACGCCGACGACGATGACGGCGTCATCGCGACGGCGATGACGGTTTCGGAAAGAGATCGAAATGCGCGCGCGGCAGCGCGCGAGTGGCCCGCGCGGTATTATTTGACGCGGAACCCGCGCGCACCCTAGCACGCGCGCGCGGGCGCTCGAACGATTTCGACGCGCGCGCGAAGCCCGTCTGGTAGCATGTTGTGAAAATTGGGAGAAACAGAAGAACTGATGATTTTCTGGGGGAATCGAAAGAGCGCGCGAACTTTTGTTGGACATCTGCTTTGCGAGATCCATTTGTTTGATATGTAGCTTGGGCGCTCGATCTTTCAATTCCCTGCGACACCGAAGGTTTTTGAAGGATTTCGGCATGAGCGCGCGACGACGCGCGCGCGAGTACTTCATTTGGTTTTTTGTTTGCAAGGGATTCCTGAAAACATATGGCGTTTGATAAACGAGCGTGCGGAAATCGAACTTATTGCAGAGGATGGCGGGGCGGGGGGGCGATGCCGGTTGGGCTGGGATGGCATGAGTTCGTATTTCGGATGGACGACGGGGCAAAACCATATGTAATTTGTAATGCGAAAAGGAATTGCGATAATCCCAGGGGGGAGTAGAAACTATTTGCCTTCTAAAGAAGAGAATGCATGTGGTGCGATTGACTGCTCTGCGCCGCGCTTGACCACCTCCACTGCCCGCGCAATCATCCCGCCCGCCCACCCGCAACTGGGTTTGCAAAACCAGCGCTGTGGAGATTGCGATGAGCGTTTGACGCGGGCTGGCCCATGTCTGCGGCCGCTTCGACCCAAACCCGAAAGGCGCGCGGCGGCCAGCTAATTTTTGCGCGACCGGCGCGGCCGCGGCGGCGCTGACCGAAAGGCGCGTCCCAGCGGGCACTTCAGTGCGAGTTGGCGGCTTGGGCGGGCGCGGCACCGTGGCAACGTCGACGGCGGTGGGCGCGACGATGGCGGTGGCGATGCTGGCGGCGGCGTCGACAACGACGACGGCGCGGCCAGCCCGGGCGCCGATGCTGTTCGCGTCGACGAGGATGACGACGCCCTCTCGTTGGTCATGACAGGCTTTGAAAGAGGTCGACACGCGCGCGCGGCCGACGCGCGAGGATGGTCCGCATGGCGTTCTTTGACGCGGATCACGCCCCCCCCCCCCCCAGCGCGCGCGAGGGCGAGCGAATGATGTCGGCGCGCGGCGCCAGAGGCACGTCTTGCAGAATTCCATGAACACGTTGAGAAACCTTCGATTCTCTTAGAAGATTTCGCAAGAGCGCGCGCTTACGCTGTTTTGAAAGCTGATGTTGCGAGACCCTGTTTTTGTTTCATACGTTTTTGGACGTTCGTTTCGAAATTGTTCCGACCCGACAAATTGGACGGATTTCGGCGCGCGCGCGACGACGCGCGCGCGTGCTCTTCGCCCCACTTTTTGTAAGGATTCTCGCGACGACGCGCGCGCAAGGCCGCTCGAACGATTTCGACGTGCGCGTGCGAAACCCGTCTGGTTGCATTTTCTGTAAACTTTGAAAAACCTAGGGTTTTCTAAAGAATTCGCGAGAGCGCGCGCGAAAGCTTTTGTTGAATATCCAGGTTGCGACACCTAGTGTTTTTTTTTATGCGGCTTTCGGACGCTCGATTTTGAAATCCTTACGACGCCAAGCATTTTCTGAAATATTTCGGCATGCGCGCGCAACGACGCGCGCTTGCATTTCGTCATATGTTTTGCAAACGGGTTTTGGAAACGGATGATTTGGTATAAACGAATGCGCGCGCATGGTTTTTGTCCAACGGATTGCGGGGGGGGGGCGATACCAGATGGGCTTGGATGGTGCGAGTTCCTATTCAAGATGGACGATGGGGCAGAATCGTTTATACATTGCGATACGAATGAGGGGGCCGAAAATCCAGAGGGGATGGGGAGGGGGTCGAATTGATTTTTCTAGTTAAAAAAAGGAGAAATAGGTGGTGCGCAATCTAGGTGGTCGACCTTTGCATTGTAAACTCTGTGAGCTGATCTATGTTGTATAACCTGTCTTATACAATAAAGGGAGTGAACTATGGGTGGTTCAATCTATGCGGTGCAAGCCATGTGGTTCGATGTCTGATGTGCAACCATGTTATGTAATGCAGGCAGTGAAATCTGCGCGGTGCAAACCACGTGTTGCAATCTATGTGGCGCGACCTATGTGCAACAATCTCTGTGATGCAACCGGATTGGTGCAACCTGTGTGTTGCAATGAAATGTCTGCTCGCAGCCGCAGCACTGCTCGCGTAGTCATGCCACACACCCACCCGCAGCTTGGTTTGCAGAACCCACGCGGCGGCGATTGCGATGAGTGCTTGGCGTTGGCTGGTGCATGTCTGCAGTCGCGCTGGCCCGCGCGCGCTTGCTCGCGCAGCGGACAGCTAGTTTGGCGCGACCGACGCGGTCGCGATGGCGCTGACCGCTCGGCGCATCCCAGCGGGCACTCCAATGCGAGTCGGCGACTTGGGCGGGCGCGGTATCATGGCAACGTCGACAACGGTAGACGCGATGATGATGGCAGCGATAATGGTGACGATGCTGACAACGTCGACGGCAAGGCCAGTGACGGCGCCGATGCTGATCGCGCCGACGACGATAACGGCGCCCTCGCGTCGGCGATGGAGGTTTTGGAGGGAGAAGCGCGAGAGGGGCCCGCATGGTTCTTTGACATGGATCGTGCCGCCATCCGCCCCCCAGCACGCGCGCAAGGGCGTTCGAATGATTTTGACTTGCGGCGCAACGGGCTCGTTTGGTCGAATGGAATGAACATTTCGAACATCCGATGGTTATTCTAAGAACTCGCAGGAACGCAAGCGCCGGCAATGCTTGAAAACAGATGTTGACAAACCATGCGTGTTTTATACGTTTTCGGGGCACTCCATTTGACTTCCTTACGATACCTCGATTGTTTCGGACAGTTTCGGCATGCGCGCGCGACGACGCGCGCGGGTGTGTGTTTTGTTTTTTCTTTGGGGGAGCGAGGGATTCTTGCGACAGCACGCGCGCAAGGGTGTTCGAGCGATTCCGACATGTGCGAGCGAAAGCCCACCAGGTAACAAATTATGACAATGTTGCATAAACCTATGGTTTCCTTGCGTATTCGCAAGAGCCTGGGCGCAAGTTTTGTTTGCAAGTTCTTCTTGCGAAAGCATGTGGTTTCATACATTTTCGAAACACTAGATTTTGATATCCTTACGACAGTTATGGTTTTTGAAGGATTCCGACATGCGCTCGCAACGACGCGCAAGTGCGCACTTCGTCCCATGTTTTGCAAGACATTTTTGAGAACTGATCATTTCGGATAAACTAATGCGCGCGCATAGTATTTTCTGCTGAGGATGAGGGGAGGGATGCCGGTTTAGGTGGGATGCTACGAGTCCATATTTAGGATGGACAATGGGGCAGAATCATAGGAAATGTGCAATACGATAATGGGACCGTCATGTCCAGGGGGGTGTAGATCCCAATATTTTTTTGGGAAAGGGGAATTAATATCGTGCAATCTATGTGAGGCGGCGGCGAGACGGCGAAGGCGACCACATAGCTGCCAGACCGACGCACAGGCCCAGACGAGGAGCGGCGACAAGGCGGCGACGGCGACTACATAGCCGCCGGACCAACGCGCAGGCCTGGTTCCCTAGAACAGAGGGGGCCTCTATTTGCAATCACTGTTCGTGGGAAAAACACGGAACACAAGTTGGGATTCCTTGTTGTTGACTGGTTCGGCCCTCTTGGAAGCCCTGTGTGGGCACTGTGGCGCTCTTGGGGCAGTCCAGGGGCCTCCTGGGACCGTCGCAGGGCCCTCTTGAACTTCCACACAGCTACCGTGGTCTCCTGGGGGAGATCGGAGGGAGGAGGGGGAGGAGGAGGAGGGACTGGGGAGGAGGAGGAGGAGGAGGAGGAGGAGGAGGAGGAGGAGAATAGGAGGAGGAGGAGGAGGAGGAGGTGGACGAGGAGGAGGAAGAGGAGGATGAGGAGGAGGAGGAGGAGGAGGAAGGGACGGAGGAGGTAGTGGGGAGGTCGAGGGCGAGGAAGGAGCATTAGCTACCAGAAACAGCGCCCCCCCCGCCCCCAGCTCAAACAATGATGGTGACAATGATGGCGCTCATGTATATAATAAGAATGATGATGGTGATGATGGTGGTGATGGTGCTGGTGCTGATGCTGATGACGACGATGACGACGATGATGATGTTGATGATGATGATGCTGATGATGATGATGATGATGATGATGATGCGAATTGCGATTATGATAATGATGATGCTGATGATGGTGATGCTGATGATGATGATGGTGGCTTTGCTTATTATGATGATGCTGATAATGCTGCTGCTGCTGCTCCTGATGCTGCTGCTGCTGCTGCTGCTGCTGATGATGATGATGATGATGATGATGATGATGATGATGATGATGATGATGATGTGTCTGCGGATGTGGCGCAAACCTGTAGAATTGGTTCGGTCGATTCGAAATGGACCTTGCCAAAGAGGCGAGGAGAGAGGGAGGGCATGTGTGGTGGCGTGAGGCGAGACCAAGCGGCGAGGACATCACAGTGTGCAGTGACATGCTGTGGTCTGGGCTCACACGGGCGGCCTTGCGGTCCAGCGGCGATCCGAGCGTGACCTCCCTGCTCTCGTTCTCCTTCCACGAGGACTTTGCCTCGGCATCTTTGTTCTCTCGCTGGAGATACCGGCGCGAGCAAGCTCGAAGAGAAGGTGAAGCAGAAGGCGACGGAGATGCAGAGGGATAGCGAAACGAAGCGTGAACTGTGTACAGACGAAGCGTGGCCGCGTGACCGCACGCCAACGACAACGAGCCCCTCTTTGCCGAAGGCCCACATTGGGATGCTCAAAACGAAGAACCCTCCGATGCGGATAGCCCTCAAACCCGGCGAGCATCAGGGTAGAAGAACTGTACATGAACAGGATCTAGTCGAAGAATGGCCGCGAGAACGGACATCGAGAACATACGCCCCACCTAGATAGCAAGCATGAACAACATGACAGTGTGCATAGCCCGCGAAATCGAATAGCACAAGAGTGCCTCTGCAAAGCTAGCATTATCATCAGCCCACGTGCCAACCGTAGTGACAATGTCGAGGACCAGACGGAGGAGAACGGGAATTGGGGATAAGCAAAGGCCGATTCAGACAACTGCTCAGCTCGTCATCAGCATGGAGTTGAAGAGTACATGGAATGGGGTTGCTCATGCACTGGGAGGGTGGGGAAAAGCCGAATCCATGAATGTGGTGAAATTGGCTCGGCCGAACTGGGCACAGCAGCGATTGGGAACGATGTCCAAGAGCACTTGTTGCCCGAAGAGGGCAGCGACAGCTCTGAGGCAGCCGACGCTTGGCGAAACCGACAGCGAATCCAGTCCAAACGCCTCTGGAAATGCCGCCAGCCATCGTACCCGGAAAAGGGTGTCGACCACCATCCCATCCTTGGTGGGGAACTGTCGACTGGACAACAAATTTGGGAATCAACTCGGAGAGATACGATGGGCGGGCGTCCATCCTTGATAGGGGTGCGTCCGAATAGCCCTCATGTGGTCCCCCCGAGTTCCCTCTCTTTTCTGAGCGGCCTGTTTTTCCCAACCAACCTGTGTTGTTGGGTCCTCGTTTTGAAGAGACGGTCCCCGCGTTCCTCCTTCCTTCCTCCTCCCCCCTCCTCCCCCTCCCACACCCATTCTGGCACACCCCTCACACGTTTCGTGGCCCCATAGGGAGCTCCACCGAAGGCCCCAGTGGCTGCGCCCGCATGCGGTTCCACCCCCCATTCTGGCACACCCCTCACACGTTTCGTGGCCCCATAGGGAGCTCCACCGAAGGCCCCAGTGGCTGCGCCCGCATGCGGTTCCACCCCCCATTCTGGCACACCCCTCACACGTTTCGTGGCCCCATAGGGAGCTCCACCGAAGGCCCCAGTGGCTGCGCCCGCATGCGGTTCCACCCCCCATTCTGGCACACCCCTCACACGTTTCGTGGCCCCATAGGGAGCTCCACCGAAGGCCCCAGTGGCTGCGCCCGCATGCGGTTCCACCCCCCATTCTGGCACACCCCTCACGTGGCCCCTCCACCGTTTGCGTGGCCACCATAGGGAGCTCCACCGAAGGCCCCAGTGGCTGCGCCCGCATGCGGTTCCACTCCCCATTCTGGCACACCCCTCACACGTTTCGTGGCCCCATAGGGAGCTCCACCGAAGGCCCCAGTGGCTGCGCCCGCATGCGGTTCCACCCCCCATTCTGGCACACCCCTCACACGTTTCGTGGCCCCATAGGGAGCTCCACCGAAGGCCCCAGTGGCTGCGCCCGCATGCGGTTCCACCCCCCCATTCTGGCACACCCCTCACACGTTTCGTGGCCCCATAGGGAGCTCCACCGAAGGCCCCAGTGGCTGCGCCCGCATGCGGTTCCACCCCCCATTCTGGCACACCCCTCACACGTTTCGTGGCCCCATAGGGAGCTCCACCGAAGGCCCCAGTGGCTGCGCCCGCATGCGGTTCCACCCCCATTCTGGCACACCCCTCACACGTTTCGTGGCCCCATAGGGAGCTCCACCGAAGGCCCCAGTGGCTGCGCCCGCATGCGGTTCCACCCCCATTCTGGCACACCCCTCACACGTTTCGTGGCCCCATAGGGAGCTCCACCGAAGGCCCCAGTGGCTGCGCCCGCATGCGGTTCCACCCCCCATTCTGGCACACCCCTCACACGCTTCGTGGCCCCATAGGGAGCTCCACCGAAGGCCCCAGTGGCTGCGCCCGCATGCGGTTCCACCCCCATTCTGGCACACCCCTCACACGTTTCGTGGCCCCATAGGGAGCTCCACCGAAGGCCCCAGTGGCTGCGCCCGCATGCGGTTCCACCCCCCATTCTGGCACACCCCTCACACGTTTCGTGGCCCCATAGGGAGCTCCACCGAAGGCCCCAGTGGCTGCGCCCGCATGCGGTTCCACCCCCCATTCTGGCACACCCCTCACACGTTTCGTGGCCCCATAGGGAGCTCCACCGAAGGCCCCAGTGGCTGCGCCCGCATGCGGTTCCACCCCCCATTCTGGCACACCCCTCACACGTTTCGTGGCCCCATAGGGAGCTCCACCGAAGGCCCCAGTGGCTGCGCCCGCATGCGGTTCCACCCCCCCCATTCTGGCACACCCCTCACACGTTTCGTGGCCCCATAGGGAGCTCCACCGAAGGCCCCAGTGGCTGCGCCCGCATGCGGTTCCACCCCCCATTCTGGCACACCCCTCACACGTTTCGTGGCCCCATAGGGAGCTCCACCGAAGGCCCCAGTGGCTGCGCCCGCATGCGGTTCCACCCCCCATTCTGGCACACCCCTCACACGTTTCGTGGCCCCATAGGGAGCTCCACCGAAGGCCCCAGTGGCTGCGCCCGCATGCGGTTCCACCCCCCATTCTGGCACACCCCTCACACGTTTCGTGGCCCCATAGGGAGCTCCACCGAGGCCCCAGTGGCTGCGCCCGCATGCGTTCCACCCCCCATTCTGGCACCCCCTCACACTTTTCGTGGCCCCATAGGGAGCTCCACCGGGCCCCATGCTGCGCCGCATGCGGTTCCACCCCATTCTGGCACACCCCTCGCTCGTTTCGTGGCCCGTGGGCGCCACCGAAGAATATATCCTCAATTGCGGTATTCACAACTACGTATGGTTGGGTCTTTCGTCAGGCTAATTACCTAACAGCGAAGACTGATAGGTTTCTAGTGGGGTCAAAAGAGCTCACAGATCACTCCACAGGGGGGTCCGGGCAGGTGTTGGGAGTTGCCGGGCGGGCCTGTGCCGAGCTCGTTTTTCACCAACAGTCACACACTTAGTGCTCTTCGACTTCCCAGAACTCCATTCCCAGGCTCATTCTGAATAACCGGATGCAACAGTCACACACTTCGTGCTCTTCGAGATCCCAGAACGCCATTCCCGGGCCACCTTTAAAATAACCGGATGCAACAGTCACACACTTCGTGCTCTTCGAGTTCCCAGAACTCCATTCCCGGGCCACATTTTGGATGCCCGGAGCCAACTGTAGGCCACTTCGTGCTCTTCGAGTTCCCAGAACTCCATTCCCGGGCCACATTTTGGATGCCCGGAGCCAACTCTAGGCCACTTCGTGCTCTTCGAGTTCCCAGAACTCCATTCCCGGGCCACATTTTGAATGCCCGTAGCCAACTGTAGGCCACTTCGTGCTCTTCGAGTTCCCAGAACTCCATTCCCGGGCCACATTTTGAATGCCCGTAGCCAACTGTAGGCAACTTCGTGCTTTTCGACTTCCCAGAACTCCCATTCCTGGGCCACATTTTCAGCAGGGGCAAGAGCACGACGAGGAGGAGGACGAGCAAGACCAGGAGGACGAGGACGATCAGGAGCAGGACGAGGAGCAGGAGGAGCAGGAGAAGAAGGACGAGCAGGAGGAGGAGGAGGACGAGCAGGAGGAGGAGGACGACCAGGAGGAGGAGGACGACCAGGAAGAGGAGG